CTGAGGTTAAAGGTCAAGAAGAACAGTTTTAACATGCCAACTTTCTGGTAGTCAAATGAAACTAAAAAGTATCTCAGAAGACAGAAGGTTTGAAACAAAAGTAAGAACCGAGTTTCTGAAAAGTTTCAGTCTGAATGAAGCTTCTTAATTTGCTTTGAGTTCCAGACTTGTGTCTATCCAGCAGGAATTTAACTGGAATGACAAAAAGACTTTTACTCAAGCGAGCCTGGACTGACACACTTCAGTAAGTTTAGTTTCTGCAAGTTAATTCAATTCAAGTTTATTTATATATTGCCAAATAAAGACAAGAGTCGTCTCAAGGCACTTCACACAAACATTCCAATACAGGTCAGTTCATTAAGCCAATCAGTAAAAAGTTTCCTATCCAAGGAACCCAGCAGGTCACATAGAGTCACTGACTAGTGTCAGAGTCTTTACAGCAATCCTCATACTAAGCAAGCATGCAGCGACAGTGGAGAGGAAAACTCCCTGTTAATAGGAAGAAACCTCCAGAGGATCCTGGCTCAGTATAAGCAGCCATCCTCCACGACTCACTAGGGATGGAGAAGACAGAGCAGACATAGACTACATTTACATGCAGCCAATATCCGGGTTATGATCGGGTTAAGGTCGGTATTCGGGTTTCTGAGTTGATCAGAATAACCCATTTACAAGCATAAATAGAAAGAGTTACCTCTAACTTGCATAACCCGATTTAAATGCGGACGTTGGGGTAGCGTCAGGACGTATGGACTATGTCCAGACGCAATATGCGTCATTTCCGGTTCTTCTTGTTCCGGTATCCGTGAAAACAACATGATTCCCAGTTCGGAAGAGATAGCGACCGCGTTTCTTTGCGCTTTAGTTTACTCGTCACTCCAAAAGTGTGGTGCTGTGCCGCGACTCGCCATGTTGCTCCCAACTTGTTGTTTACTTCCGGTGTTCTGGCGCATACAAGACGTCTCGCTACTCAAAAGACCAAGATTCCTTGCGAACAGAGCATGCGCAGAACACACGCTTTGATGGGGATATCCCGATATGCGTTTACGCGACCAAACATTCAGGTTAGAAAAGGGTTACCCCAGGTGTAGTAACCGGGTTTTTAAAAACCCGGTTATGAACATATCCGGATTTTTGGCGGTGTTTACATGGACCTGCGGAACCGGGTTATTGTGAATATTCTGGTTTTAAAAGGGTTACTGGCTGCATGTAAACGCACTCACACACACACACACACACACACACATACACACACACACACACACACACACACACACACACGCATATATGGTTTATGAAGCCACTATGACTTTTTGGTGGTTTATGAGGACACATCTTTCCCTGCATCTGGTGAACACGAAAAGTATTTCAAAGATTATGATTTTACCCATAGAAGAAAAGTCTCATTTCAAAAATAAGAAAAACTTAATCAGAACAAATTTACATTTCACTTAGGAATTTCCACAGGCATATGAGGACTTGACACTTGGTGGTTTATGGGGACAATTAGGGTTTATGAGGTCTGTTAACAAAAAATATACAATTCTGACTGTTTCATGGTTTAAGGGGACATTTAAACATTATGAGACCAGTATACAAATTTATATATAACATTCCAAATATCAAGGAATCAAAGAGGAAATAGAGGTTTTTTGGGGGAGTCAAGACCTCAGAAGTACCAGTGGTCAATCGAGCACTTGGGCCTGTGACCATTTAACTCGGAGAGAGACGGGCATATTCCAGGATAAACTTCAGAAATCTTTATTCAGAAGAGTGCATAGGTAAAGCTAACATTTCTACTAATGTTTCTGTTCAGAAACCTCAACCTCATGCTACCTAAATCTCAGTTTCTGTCTTAGTTGTCCTATGTCCTGTCTGTGGTACATCACATGTAGGGGTGTCCTTCCACAAAAGTATTTCCAGCACCTGCTCCTCTGTTTGCCATTGTCTGTGACATTCACTGAGCATGTCATCTGTAGAGGTCTTATCCTTGATAGTACTTAAAGATCTTGGCTGTTTCATCTTGGATCATAGCTCTCACACTAGCTAGTCCTCTGACTCTTTCCTTACTGCTAGCATACTGTTTCAGGGTGCTGGATTTTGGGTGGAATGGTCCATGCATGGTTAGGAGCTTTTGTGTCTTAACATCTGTGGTCTGTATTTTTTCTTTTGGCCAGCTCATTATTCCTGACAGATATCTGATTACTAGCAGGGCGTAGCTGTTTATTTCCCGAATCTTGTTCTTGCCCTTGAGCTGATTTCTTAGGACTTGCCTTATTTGTTTTAAGTATTTGGTCATGGCTTATTTCCTTGCAGCCTCATCGAGGTTGCCATTTGGTTGAGGGACAACAAGGAATTTGTAGCTGTCCTCAAGGTCTGATTTTGTTCCTTCTGGGAGTGAGACCCCTCCTGTATCTATTATCTTCCCTTCCTTTGTCAACATTCGGCCACACTTCTCAAGTCCAGATTACATTTCGATATCAGTGCTGTAGATCCTGGTGGTGTGGATCAGTGAGTCAATGTCTCGCTCGCTCTTGATATACAGTTTTATGTCATCTATGTCTAATTGTGGTTCCATTTTTGAGTGAGAATCTCAGACTTATTTATTGGACAATAACTACATTTAAATTGTATCATTATTGGATAGGATAGCTTGTTGATAGCTTGTTGTTTATGAAAGGCAGCTAGGGGCTCACAGAACACTCAACACAGCTACAAGGATTAAACAAGAAAGTCATACTGATATATTATGAACTTTTTTTGTGGAAGTTACTAAAGAGATGAATGCATGCAAGGGGTCCTGTGGCAAAATTAAGACTACAATTACCAACAATTTGCAAATATTTCTTTGAGAGGCTGTAACATCTATTGTGTTTAATTTGATGAAAATCAGTGTGTATGATGAAATTACAGCCAATTGTAAGGCCACAGCTTGCCATCACACTTTGCCGTGCCACCACAACCCCATTCTCTCTTGAAATATCTCAGTACTGAATTCTGCATTACACCAGCATGTCTTCTGTCATTGGGCAGTGTCTCATGTTGATTCTATACAAAGGGTCAAAGGTGTACCTTTTAGAGTAAAACAATATACTTCCTGTTGTCAAGGGTAGTGGCTTTAATGATGGCAGGAAATGACACTGTCATTGTCTTGAGATTTGTGATGACATACACTAAGTTGGATATAGCTCTGATCATGTGTCTGCAAGTTACTAAACCAAGGACTTTAATGTAAAAAGATCAATATTTGAGACTAAGCCCAAACTACACCATTAGTCCTTTTGAAAACTATTTAGACAACTTTTGATTCCCAATGGCTAATCAATTTTAGGTCATAAGTCTAAAGCCCTAGGACAAGTTACTTAAAATATAATATGTGTTAAAATAACAAAATGGCATCATCTGACCAAAATGACCAACTTCCTGTTGGTTTTGAAACATGGTTTCAGGAGACTTTTTTTGTCAGTCTTAAGACACATCATGAGTGTACCAAATTTCATAATCCTCAGTTGAAGCATGACACAGAGCTGACTGTTGTGATGATCCTAGGGAGCACTATATTAAAACTAGGCCATGCCTATGGAAAATTTGTATAATTATCTGTTTGGGGTTGGATTAGTGTAAATCACATTACATTTTGCACAGATGAGATGTGAATTGAGGAAATTAGAGGCAAACGTAATTCCATGGTGTGATGCCTAAATTCGCCATACTCCTTAAGCCCCATCCTCTTTTGAAACCTGCCAGACACTACATATTAGAGGTGGGAAAAATGATCGATTCTAAGATGCATCACGATTCAGCCGTGCATGATTCCGCATCGATGCAGCAACGTGACATAATGAGTTTTTCTCCCTATGTCTATGTCGGGGGTCGGCAATCCGCGGCTCTGGAGCCGCATGCGACTCTTCCATCCATCTGATGCGGCTCTCTGTGCTTGTAAAATAATGACTGGATATTTAAATAAAATGCTTTATATTTTACTGCATTAATTTTACATCTGTATGCCAATTCTAAATGTAAAGACTGTCTGCGTAAACCTGAACAGTTCCAACCCGGTCTTACTGTGAGACCGGGTTGACGGGTCACGCTTGTGCGTAATCATATCGGCACATTCTGAGCTGACGAGAATGTGAGATTCTGGGATTCTCCTCAGACAGGCTCCTGGATGTGTCGCCACATTGGAGACAGGAACAAGCACTATTCAGCCAAAGTTTCATAATCAGGGAACATTTTCTAAGTGACAAGTCTCGCTTCAGTCAGAGGAATCTTCCTGCATGCGCTCTGGTTCTGCGACGCGCTCCAAGCCCCTCTCCACATCTTCAGCTCGCTGTGGACCTTATGTAGTACACGCTGACAGTGAGCTAAGCTGAGCGATGTCCAGCTCAGATGTTCAGATGGGAATCATTTCTTGAGTGATTTAGCTACATCTGCGATGTGCGAAACAAATAAAATGTCAGTTCGTCTGCTTGCGTCGGGGTAATTCTTTCTATTCTTTCTCCATCAAAATATATAGTCAAATACGGGAACTGTCCGGTCAACACAACACGAACCCTGCTTTTAACTGTTCTGTTTTCTTGTGAAAATTGTTGCAGAGATATAATTTAACTTGATTAACACCAGAGCCAGGAGCACTGTGCTATCATCTCCGTCATTGTAAATGAGGGAAAAGCAAACTGATCGGATCCTTTTCTGACCTTCCCCACCTACAAAGTTTATTCACAACAATCAAACGTGACAGAGCCTGGATTTGTATTCTGAACAGTCTAAACATGTTTTAAAAAGAAACGTATGACAAAAGTGGCACCTGCTCAGTAAAACAACCAACAGGGTGAAAAATATCAAAATATTGTTGGCAGAGACGGGCTACAACTTCTGGATCCACTTTATATAAATCGTTTTATTGATTATCTTTTTATGAAAGATAACTTTGACGTACACAAACGACCAGTACTGCTGTCACCTGTTGTGGGCAGCGCTCTGCTGTCTGAGGGTAGGCC